GCCTGCCTGAATGCCTCTAATTTGACAGCCGCGGCGGTTTGGTTTGGCCTGGCATTGGTTTTTCCGCTTACGTGATGTCTATTCGTTATTTTTTGTTGTATTTTTTGTTCCAGCCACGCCCCCTTGGACCTGAGCCCGCCCTCGTTCCTGCACGAGCGACTTCTTGGCTCACATTCGGTAAAACATTTTCTTTGTGTCAGTTGAGGTTGCATTTTATTGTGTTACTGCGAGTTTGGACTTAGCGCAGCTCCACTCCCTTGTTTCGAATGCAGTTTCTCTGGGATTTGGCCTGACAGCCAGCTGGAAATTGCAACTGTCAATTGCATTTAATTCGCCCTGTTCCTGGCGGTTTGACCTTTTCGAGCCACACAACAAAACAAAAAGCGGAAGAAGCAAAAACTGAATTTACACTAAATTAAATTAGGACTGGCCAGGGTTTAAGAGACGCTGCTCGAGCGCGCCTCAACTGTAGCAGCCAGTATCAAGTATACGCCGCATGGGCTGCCATTGAAAGTGAAGCTGCTGACGGCGTTTACACTTTCAAAGGATGCGTGCCATTTCGAGTGTCGTGCAAAATAAACCGTTTGGCAGCGAAAAAAGCTTTTGCACGGCTGCTTTTGAAATTTGGCGCCCTCGCACACACAGCGAGAAACAAAGAAGCACTTGATGGGCACACTCACAGACACACACACACACACACACACTCGCCCAGGGATACACGGACACACGCACCGATACACAGGCATTGTGGTAAAAGCTTTCAAGTGGCAGCAGCAACAACAAGAAGGCAGATGCTGCTCCTGACGCCCGCGTCCTTTTTATCTGCTACGCGATGATTAACCCATTTCTATTTTTTGGCCAGCGCCATTCAGCTTTGGCCGATTTTTCAGCATTCCATTGTACTTTTTCCATTCGTTGAATTGCAAAGAACATTTTTTTCTGTCAAAATTCTTTTATATTTGATTCATTTTGCATCTTTTCGGATGAAGTGATTTTATACCTCCATGTTGTTTCCAAAAAAAAACAAAAACTTTACTATCCGCCTTATAATATCCAATAAAAACTACAGTTGTAGTTTTATTCATTGTTTTCAGGTACAGCTTCGTAGCACTAATGGGTTAATCGCCTTCTGGCAAGCCAGTGCGCGACGTACTCGCACACACAGGCGCGCACAAGAGAAAGGACGAAGGACCAAGGACGAAGGACGCTGCGGCTTACACCCACACAATCAAATGCGGTGAGATTCGGGCCACTCAACAGCAGTGGCTGGCACTTTGGGGCGCCATCTCGCGGCCAGTCAGCCAGCAGATTGAATTAACAGAGTACCCAAGATTCTCATGGTGAGATCGGCATAGAGTTCCCATTCCGGGGGCGGATGCCACATCCTCCGGAGAGCAATGGAGCACATTTACAGGCACTGTGAAAGGCGAGAAAGTCACCACATTCTGTTAATGCCGCAACTTGGCTGTTTGGCAGCCAGTGGAAACTACAACTGGCCTTAAGGCCAAGTTCTGATTCGGATTTGCGCTTTGGGTGCGTTTTTTGTGGGTTCCTGCAGGGTCCTTTCTTTTCGTCCTGTCTAGCGCTTGTCCAATTTGCCACTTTGGCTGTTTGGCTGTTTGGCTGTCAACTGTTTCCCTCGACTTTCCTTCGCCGTTTGTCACTCGTTGGCCACAAGGCAATCCTTTGATATCGCATCCTTTGGCGCAGCTATCAAATTTCTTATACTTAAGCAACGAGAAGGACACTGCCGACTCTCCACCGCTGGCCTTATTCCTCTGCCTTTATTTCGTTTTGTTTCAGTTTCATTTTGCCACTGTTGAGAGCGAAATAATGACAGCCTCGTTGGTCGGTATCTTCAACTTTTTCCTTGGATTTCTTCCAATAAAGTGAACGCATTCTGGCAGTCCTCGAAATATGTTCCTCACTTTGTGTGGCTGCTTTTTGCTGGCCCGTTAACGCGGCATATGAAATATGGATTCACTTACGCATCACTCGCGACCCTTCGAGGCCATTAAGTCACCATTGCTCCAGCTCCGGCTCCTGCTCCAACTGGCGGCTGAAGGATGCCCTTTTGGAAGTGCCCCTCTACATCATATCCTTTTCTTTTTTGCCAACTGCACTCTTTCACGGGAATATCCAAATATGTATGAAGCTGTGACTCTTTCTCAATTAACACTTTTTTGCCACTGGCTTCTTAAAGTGCCCTCCTCGATCTGGTGTACATAGCACACTATATAATGGCTTAAAGCGTTATATACATATACTCTTTTCCTGCCCCACTTACTAGAGTTGTGAAAGGAAAACAGCCGCAGCCTAATATCCGGAGCATAATTGTGGGCTTACCCAAATCCTCTTAATAAATTGTGCACAAGCCCGCCACAATAAGAACTCTCTGCTTCATTACCATTCATTTAGGATTAATTTCCTTTTGGGCAGTACTTCTATTTATGATATAAGTACTTAGTAACACTTGCCCGAAACATTGTTTCCAGGGAGCTGCATTAAGTAAGATATTTCGACAGCCCAAATAAACAACATGGAATAGCTCACAGCATACGGAATCAGCAAAAAAAAAGGGATAAAAACAAGTAAAACCCAACAAGCAAATCCGCTTTGAAATACTCCGCAAGTGCATATGGAATATGAGTAGAACAATTATTAGATGGAAACCAACTGTTTTTCCAACACAATGAAGGGGGCGGGGTCAAGTGGGCGGCTAAAGACAACCAGGCGATTCCCAGGCTTCAACTGATTCCGAATGCACCACAGATCCGGGAAAACTTTCTAATGCAGGGGCCCAAGAACCGAAATCATTGCGGGTGAAGTGCACAAAAAACATAATTACATGATACAATCTTGATAAACCTTTTTAAAGGTTTCGGGTAATACAATTTAGCGTTCAATATTTACTTATCTAATATAATATATTTTCAAAAAATTTATAACACAAGTTAAGTTTCTATGGGATAAAAATGAGTATTTTTTGGGAATGGATAGACATTTCTTCAAGTGCCCATTTATGGTCTCCCATGCAGTCGCACACGTACTATAGGCACCCATACGAGTCTGGGTGAGAGTACATTATAACAGTGGGCTAGTGCAAACATTAAAGGCAGCACATAAAATGCTTTCTTTGTGCATGATAGCGCGCCCAGTTTTCCAGAAGCAGGGGAAGGAAATGCAAAAACAAACGAAAGCGAGTGCCGGCGGATGGAAAGCGGGAGAAAAGCTGGAAAATGTGAGGAAAAGGTATTGTTAAGTTGCAGAAAGACCACAACAAACCGACGGACACACACACACACACACACATAGCACACATATAGGAAAGCACTCTCACATGAGCGTTTTCTGCATGTATTAGATATGGACAAACGGACAGACAGACGGACTGTCGAAAAAATGGCATTTCATAAAAGATTTAACATTCAAATGTGCAGATACAGTCCGGAGTACTCAGTGTGCGGGTGTGCTCCTTCTAAATAAAACTACTTAAGCACATGTGAATGAACAGCATTAAGGATGCAGGACTATGACGTGCATTTTTCCCATGTTTAATTCGCGTGTTACATCAATTTCAGTCGAAGAAGCAGGCCGCCACATGACATGCCACATAGTTGTCATCAAAAATGTGAACTTATGCATTTTTCTAAGGCATAAGAAAATGGCCAGTTGACCAACAGCGAAGCTCTGACGCCGCGATTTTCCTTTTTTTGTGCTGCAGATTCTTAATCAGGACCAACTTATACGCTATGCAGGAGCATCAACAGCAAGGCTATCAAATAAACGAATCGTCGGACACGGCCAAGAATTGGAAAGGAAGGAGCCGTGGAGCTGTGGAGCTCAGGAGCCGAACGGACAGCAAACACTCCTTGTCCTTGCAGGCGGCCCCACCTGAAATCCGAAATCAGAAATCTGCCGGCAGGAACGTAATTTAAACAGCACGTTTTGCATGTCGCTGGCCAGGACTCAACCCGCCGTAAAGGGCCGAAGCCCAATCCTTAAGTCCAGCTCAGCTTTGGCCCACCGATGCACAGAGAAAAGTGAACTTTAGAACAACAGCTGAACTTATATGCCAGACAGGCTTAAAAAGCCTATTGATAAAATACTTTTTGGCAGATAGGCTTACAAATTTATCGACATCTTTGTGTATCTTTTAGAGTACAACTCAAAGCTCCTATGAATTTTTCCAGTGGATTTATCTGCTGTATCTCTTGTCGTCCTGCGCTTCTTTACTCATATTAAATGCAAAAGTCATTGAGCGCAGGACAACACTGCGGCAGGAGGAACTTAAAGAAGGGGCAAGCTGGCGAGGAACTTGCAGAGGTAGCGGACCTGGTAACAAAAACAACTAGTTTATTTCCGCATCCTTGGACATGAGTTTGCTGTAAAATTTCGTGTTGATGATCTTACTAGGTTATGCATTAGTTTTTCGTGCTCGCCGTAAGCCCGCCTCAACCCCTACGCCCCCCACCATATTCCTTTCCATATCTGCGCTTTCACTTCCGCTCGTTGCGATTTGCATTTGGACCCCCCTTGAAGCTTTGATTTTTTGTGTCCTGTCGCTGCGCTAAATCTCACCAGCAACATGCATGCAGATTGTACGGAAAAGGGGAAAATGTAGCTCCTCCGATGTTGCTTGTCTTTTATGTTTATGTAAATTGAAGTTCGGCAGCAGCAGCCCAACCATAAATATTAAGTATACGTGGCATTGTCCCTGCCTGTGTTGCGCTTCGCAAATTGCAACATTTTAGTAGCCCAGGAGGATTTGCATCCATTGACTAAGTGCCGCTGATGTACTATAAATATTCTACGTTCACAGCCAGCCACTTTGTATAAATGTCAGACACCTCACGGGAATTTTGACCAAGCTTTGTTAAGATTTTTTGAGTTGTCGATTGGAAACCCTCCTTATTAATGTGTACAATTCAAAGTATTGAAATAATAATTAACCGCTGAGAGTAAAGTACAATTTTTAGATATTTTCAACTTGGACTTACCCGCTGGTAAGCACTGACAGCCGCTGCAGCCGCGGATTTGAGGCTCTGAACTCTGTAGGTTGCCGGCAGGGGGGGCGTGGCAGGTTGCCTGCTGGGCGGGGGGCAGCCAAAGCGTTGTGGAGGCATCATCGGTGAAGGTGGTTTTGGTGGTGGTTGCATCATCGCCTGGAAGTGGGTGAGCATGGGCGGCGGCTGTGGCGGCGGTGGCACGCTCTTGGCCTGCAACAAAGGCTTGCAATCCTCCGGCGGCGGCAGAGGAGGTTGCATATGCAAATGGGGCTGCTGCTGCTGCTGCTGCGGATGTTGCATGGGCAACATGAAGGGCACAAAGATCATCGACTGGGCAGGTATGTTATTGTAAATTGCTGATGCCTTGTTGCTGCCGCCGGTGTTATTGCTATGCTGCATGTTGCAATGAGAATGACAATGTTGCATAGTCAGCAGCGGCTGCTCTGTGCCAATGTTGCTCACATAGCTGCTTGTATTTGCAGTCGCTGGCATCAGACAATTGCCGTATAAACAATTGGATGTAGTTGCTGTTGTCTGCTGCAAGGTGGTGATGCAGCTGCCCTGCTGATGCTCCTGCTTCTGCTGCGGATTTTGGTTGAGCGGCGGCGGCGGCTGTTGATGCAGCAATCGCGGAACGGGCAAGTGCTCGTAGTCCTGTTGGTAGCCACGGCACTCCGGGCAGCAGCCGCTGGTGCTGCAGCAACTGTTCCCGGAGGCGGACATCGCATAGGGCTGACTGGTGGCACGCGCACCGGTGGAGTAACTCAGCAGCTTGGGCGCCTTGCCCGGCGGCTGCCAATGGAGTGAGCAGGGCAGGATGCCCACGATACCCAGTCCCGCGGCGGGACTGGTCGATACGCCGGTCGACAGGTTCGCTATTTTGGCAGCGTCAGATAGGTCAGCTATATTTAACTGAAATTAAAAGGGAAATTAAAGACTGCATTTAAAGGCCGTTAGATATTTTAACAAAAAGCAAAGTCGAAATTTTAAAGAATTAAATTATCAATCAGCCATTTAGTGGCCAAAAGCCAGCGAAGTTCAGAAAGGGCTTTAAATACCAAGTCATATATTTTTAATGAGTCGAGCAATTTTCGGCCTTCTTGTTATCATTCCTTCGGCCTCCCCATCTGCTTACTTTGGCTTTCCATAATTTATGAGTTATTTTCGGCACGCTTGATTAAAATGTACGCCTTATTAAAACATCTTTGAGAAAACAAGGTGAGGAGGCGCGCTGGCTTCCAAAAAGTATCTTGTTGTGGATGGGGTTTTGGCGCCTCGTCTACCGATTCGCCCTCCATGGGCTGGCAACCGTCAGAGGCTTTCAGAAATCACTCAAAGTTTGTCAAGAACGAGAAAACCAATTTTTCAGCTGAGTGCATTTTAATTTCGTATACGCCCCGTGTTCGCCTGTTGAGTCCAGCAGCCCAACAGCCCAACAGCCCAGAGACCGAAAACAGGCGACCGAATGCCTAACCCCAAATGCGTGTGCGATGGAAAGTTTGCTTTTCATTGCAACACGCTTGAAATGGCAACTTGGACAAACAGGACGGGAGGGGTAACAATAACACGGGAAAAACCGAAAAACTCGAACTCGAAGGCAAATGCAAGAAAAATTGGCAGGGCCTGTTCCCTTTTTCCTTCTGGCCAGCTCTCATGCCATTCCCTTTTCCTGGCCAATTTGCATGCCTCTGTCCATAGAGCATTGTTGACTCCGTTGGCTTTGCTTCTTGGAATGTTCCAAAACGCATTTCGGCCAGGAACGAGTCCTTGCCACAGACCAAACAATGGAATATTAGATGTGACAAAACAGGTGCACGTGTCCAGCCATTGTGGCAACTGCCTGTAGCCAAATTTCTGAGCTGGGAGCTTGGCATTCGCCTCAGTCAGTCAGCCAGTAGGCACTGGCCATGGTTAATTGTCAGACTGGCTGCAGGCCATAAATCCCCATTTTAAAACATACGTGCAGTATCAATCAGGAGTCAATAGGGGTACTTGACAGAGGACTCCTAAAATTGCAGATCTGAAATGAATACGGGGATCATTCCACAGGCTTGGCACTCAATCAATCAAAGCTGTGAGCTGTATCGAAGCAGTTTATAATGATCTAAAACAGAGGTTCAAACTCGGAAATCGCAGCGGAGGGCAGAATCGAAGGTAAACTTGTACAACCTAAATATTAATAAAAAGGCAGAGCCTCAAGTGTTTTTAAAACAACAAACAGCCATCGAAACGACCAAGATTATTTCCTAAAATCCGCTCTTGAATCTGACAGGTTTTAACTTGCCGTCTTGCGGAGAACGAAAGCAAATATCTTGAAAACAAATTTCCATAATTCCATAAATACTTGGCCCGCATAATGAAAAATATTTGCACAACTCAAGATCAAAAGTTTGGTGGCAGAGCTGGAATAGTTTAGTTTCAGGGTTTAGACAAGCAAAACAGCAACTTTCTGACTTTTCTTGCCGGCGATTAAGTTGCCAGCATATGGAAAGTTTGCATTTTGGCCAACAATTTTCAGCTGTAATCGTGTTCAATTTGTGTGCACAATATCTCGGGTAGAGATACGCGTGCATATGCAACTATTGTGGCTCTCGGAGCTTAATTACAAAAGCCGAAAAGGGGTTAAGTCCGTGCACATAATCACTGGCAAGGACACAGACCGACCGCCGGAGTCCTTTGAAAGTATGTTTTGTGGCCCCGTGTTGTCCGTGAGATATACAAAGCTGGAAGTACAAAGAAACTTACAAAAAGAATTTGGTAGCATCAAAGCAAAAATTTTTAATGAATTTCTTGCCGGGCAGCAGAGCCGTAAGCCTGCAAAACGCACCATACGCAAATGCAAAAGGCGCAAAAAGGACCTGACCCCCAGTCCAGAGCCCCCCGCCCCGCGCATAACCACCCGTTTCCTGGGAACGGGAATGCAGGGTCAAAGGTCCGGCAAGGACCGGCACCACTTCATCTTCCCTTTTGGCCGCTGGCCCCGGCAATCGTGTTGCTCGTCGGTGGCCTTAATTAAATTTAAATATTTTATCACCGAAAAATTGCCAGGCGGCAGCAACTGCGCAACAACAACAGCAACGGCGGCAGGAGCAGCAGGACATGAAAAGGGTGCAAGTGTGTGAGTGGGTGGGTGTGTGGGTGGGTGTGTGCCGGAGTGCAGACAGCCGAAAAATACTGATGTGGGTGTATTTTTCATTATTTGCCCAGCGCTGCAACTTTTTTTGCACCCCACATGCCCGCCCCTGCCATCGCCACACTTCATATTCAATTGTGTTGAATAATTGCCATACGCTTTTTTGACCAACGGTTTTTGACACTTTCCTAAAAGGACACACGCGCCCTCAAGTGCCCCGCCCACAAACACACATTCATACACACAGCAACTCAAGAGCCACCCACATGCCACATTTGGAGTTCGGTTTTCCCTTTTTTCCCAGCGACCGAAAAGTGAGCAAAACACTCGACCAACCGGGGGGGAAACTCCGAGGACCTCTGGACACACACACACACCAGCAGGGGAAACAGCAACAACAATTATAAAGGGAACTGGGTACAAAAACAAAACATGCCAAAAGCGTTTTTTGAAATATCTTTGTAAATATTTAAAATGTTCTGTACATGCGGGCGCTTCAATCAAACCGAATCGCCAATGGCGGGGAAAGCGAAGAAATGGCCAGGATGGGGGTCCTGAAAAAGGTCCTGGGACAGGGACCAAGGCTATTGTGCGCCGGGCACAGACCGGGACAAGTTTTAAATAGTTTTTGTTGGCAAATGTCAAAATGCAATTTGATATTCATAAATTAATGAAGCGCCATTGCAACAAAAAACCTCTCCTGGATTATAAAGTTTTTACATAAATTACGAGGGATGGCTTTTGAGGGAAGGGTTGTGATTTAAATCTGGTATTTAAATGTGTAATCCTCGGCTGATTATAAATGCATTAGACCTGCACAGAAAAGTTGAAATTCCTTCCAAATTCCATTGAACTACCATTTGAATTTGGAAATAGTTAGGTTAACGTAAGTAATTAACATAAATTTGAGTAAAGAGGGATTGTTAGAATAAATACATTCTTTAGATACATTTAAATACATTTTGAAATTCCTAGGACTAACAAAATATTTCCTTTGAAAAATTTTAAAAAAAATCCAAAACTAATAGCACTAAGAAACAGAAGCAAAAATTTCCATATATATTTTATAGCTTCCATATTTTAGTTGAAATTTACACTACTGATCTGCTTTGAATGACTTAAAAACTAAATCCTTATTTATTTTTATATTTTCGTGAAACATTTCTCAAAACAGAATGTTTGAAAGGACCAGCATCTCAGAATGACTCAAGATATTTATTTGACTTAAGGATCTGTTGTCTTGTACACATGCGCACGCATTTGAGCCGCGGTTATCCTTTGCGGCTACTCAAAAAAAATTTGTAAACAAGGTCAGAACACGTAGGCCAAAACACGTAGCACAACAAAGAGAGCGGCCTGCAGAGGTCCTTCTACTCACACTCTCTCTCTCTCCCGCCGAAGTGCAGTGCTCACTCACACTAGTGCAGGTCCTGCCAGGACACCGCCCGAATGGCCCACTTTTCGATGGGTTGTATCGAATTTTTATACTTCCGCACAACAAAACTCGCGTTTCGGAGAGGCAGGAAAACAAATCAGCACGAGTATGGGAAAAACGGAGAGGAGGACGAGCACGTGGCAGCCGTGAAAACCGGGAAGTCAGGAAGGATATCCTTTCCAAGACATTAACGATTTGTTCTGAGCGAAAAGCAGCGCCTCGTGTCGACGAATTGACACTGAAGAGCCCAGTCGCCAAGTAGCCAAAGTCGGCGTCCAGCAGTTTCAGTTGCTTTTGAAGTGGCAGCGCTGCACCACCACCAAAAAAAAGAAGAAGAAGGCGACCCATCACACACACACACACACACACGTGTGCCACCAATACAGTGCACGCAAGGCGAGCCAACCCAAGCAGCGGAATAAAGGCGAACGGCTCTTCTCTGTGGTTGACATTATCGCATGCAACTAAATCACACGCACACACACACAGCTGCAGGTGCACCCACCCCTCGTCCTTTTTGCACCGCCCTTCGTGCGCTCATTCGCTCGTGCAACGTGGCGTATGGGTAACAATGGAGAGTGGCTCACACACACAGCCACTAACACTCGGCTATCTGCCTTAGCGCCATTTATGGCATTTGATATGCTAATTTGCACATATTCATAGAGAGAGCTAGATATAAGGAGAGAGAGAGAGAGAGAGCAAGGACATCCACCACCAGGACGCAAAGGTGCGAGTATGGCCATCCGCTGAACCAGGCCGGCTCATCGCCAGCTCCTTCGTCCTGCTGCCTGCTCCTGGCCAAGTGGCTCACGAGTATCTCTGTTTTGATGGCTCTTCAGCGCGCCCGAGTTCTGAGTCCTGAGTGGCAGCAGGTTAAGTTGCCTGATGAGCTGCACTTTGTCATACGGACATACTCTGGGATTTCATTAATTATTTAGAGCTTAGGACGAGAACTTTAAGCATGATTTTCTGCAAGCATACGGAGTCGGGATACTATTAAAATATGATCTAATTTACAAATGCTTGTCCACAAAATATTAAAAATAATTGAAGTGGTATTCACATGCCCCTTTTGAGTTAAAACAAGTACTTATTTGGAATCATCAGCAATCAAAGTATTTTATGTTTTACCTTCCACTATTTTGTAAGCTTAAAACCTATTATCAAGTTTCATATTGTACCAACTGTAGCGCACTTCTCGAATTCGTCGAAGTCCTTCGGCTGCATCCACCACCGAGGAGCAGCACCACGTTTTCGTGGGCTCTCTCAACTCTCCGCATGCTGCAAGGATTCTCACCAATACCAATGCACTCGCAGCCCAGTGGAAATGCATGTACGACACAGAGGCGGAGTCTGAACGCTGGTCATGTAAAAGTCACAAAGGCTTATGTACCCAAAGGGGAGGCGCCATGGAACAAGAGTATATAGTCGCTCTCCAGCTTTAGTTTTCCGCAGAAATCACAAAATGGCGGAAAATTTGCGCGTAAAAATGTTCGAATACGATCATTTCCGGTGGGAAGCCCCCAGGTAAAACGACGCCTCTGCGCTTTGTTTACCAGTTGTTTTGCGGGCGGGATGCAATACAACAACAGGCTGGTGGCGAAAATGCGATACAAGTCACGAAGAGTCGCTCACCGAGAGCGAAAGTTGGTGCTCCTTGTATCGCAATTTTCCTCGGCTCGCTCTCGGCTGCAAAACTGCGATACAAGCCAGCAACAACTGGCAACCACTGGCAACGGCAACAACTATGAGCACGTGGCATCCTGTTGAGCCTGGACCGAGGAATCAGCTGACAGGACTCGGCAGCGCTCCTGACACCTGCTGGCCGGCAAAGACGACATCCTGGCAGCCCGATGGTCAAACCGGCGTCCAGTTTGACACATGCCGGACATAATCTCCCACTGGCCAGGGACACATGTGACGCTATCGAACGATGGCATTGTTGGCCCAAAACTTTGCCATCCATCCCGGCGAGCAAGCCATGAATACTACTGCGACTTTATCGGTGGCAGACAGTCTCTGTCTCCTTGCTTCTTTGGCAAATTATGCAAATTTCAGATTTCCCAAGTAAACATTTACTTTACTTTTCAGCGCAGACAGCGTGGCCCGGCGGCGCTTAGACCTCCACCTTGCAATCTCCATCGCTCCTTTTGGCCATTTGACATTTGTTAAGTTTTCTTATCGCGCGCTTTCATTAGCGACCGTCGTCTGGTTCGGCCAGAGACCTTCTAATTGTCTTGCAAATTAGTCCGCCAGTGACGAAAAAATGCGACCCCCAGAGATGCGGGAAATCCCAGAGTCCGCCATTTATTTACACATCGAACGACCGGAATGGGGAGCATGTGGCATCTGCTTGAAGGAAATGAAAAGTAAACAATGCTGCTGCCGTGCCACATTTGGCGGCATGTGAGCGGGCCAACCCCCGTAATTTTTGAATGGCGATTTCCGTTGAGCACGAGGACGTGCTTCTGTCGAGGATTAGCCTCCCAGACGAGCCAGCTGCCGAGCACCGTCACCGTGTCCGGCGGAAACGCACAACAGACACGGCCCACTCCGGCGTATTTTTATAGACTTTTTCACTTAATCCCCCCACAGAACCATAACACAGACCTAACGCCAATCGATTAACTGCCAAGTAAAAGGCTTTAAAGTGGCTTTAACTAAAGTCAGACGGCATGAAGTACGACCAAAAGTTGGTCGTGAATATTTCATGAGCTCTATTCTTAAAGCGATGATTTTTCAGACCAGAATAGTCTACAATATACTATAAAACGTTTATAAAAATGTAATTTAATTCCTTATAAATGTCAAATTATTACTAACTCCCGAAATTATTGATCATATTGTTCTTAGATTTATAAATATTAAAAATAATGACTTTTAAGAGTGCAGATAAATATATTTTATAATTTATGAAGTGGGGATCGCGAGGACAGCACTTTGTTACCCTATAAAAAGCAATGGGTGTGGTGGTCATAATTTGCAGATTCTTAAAAGCATCAACTCAAAAATGTCTGTTAATTTGGTCCCCAATACTTCATTTATTGCTTCGAGGCGAAGACAAAATGTTTTTGCTCTAATTGAAAAATTATTGTGCCATAAAATATGTAAGCTGCGTGGAGACGATGTTCGCAAATTTAATTGGCTGCAAAAGTTTCAAGTACTTTTAGCTCTCGCCGAGTTTAATACATTTTTAAATTGTTGTGCAAGGACGAGCTGGGCCCACCGTTTGATGGCAGTACTTAAGCAAAGTTGGAGAGTCATTTGCAAATCGCAAAGAATAAACAAAACTTCTTTATATATTTGCGCATAATGAAATCCCACAGCGATGGTGCCGCCAGCAAAACATTCTGCAAAATTACCCTTAAAACAAAAATGCATTATTGTCATCTAAAATGCAAGCATGCATTATCCTGTCACAGGTCCTTTGAGAGTTGGCTTTTTGCGTTGCTCGCCTGGCTGCTCGAGCTGTAGAGCTACAGCTTCTTTTACTTCGGCAACGTTTATTATCCGCACAGCCCCACTCCGCATTCGCATCCGCATCCGCATCTGCATCCTCCCAAGGAAAGCCAGACAATAGTACTGCCCGTGTCCTTCATAAGCCAGTGAGCTGGGATCAATTTGCCAGCAGCCAGAAACCTTTTTAGTTGCGCATGCAGATATGACAAACACACAGTACGAGAGCGGGTATATTGCCCGGAATAACCCTTCCCAATCCCAATCCCAATCCACATCCCCATCCCCATCCGGATCTCCTCCCTGAGCACTCCGATCTAATCCACTCCTTGGCTGGCCCTTTGGCCATCTGTGTCTCGTGTTAATGCTGCATTCTTGTGGGAAATTATCGCTGTCGGAGGGCCAGAGACTTCGGTTGCAGTTGCTGGCCAAAAATTTGAATTTGGCCAAATTACATATTGAAATATTATTGCAGTGCGCCCGAAAATTCGCTTTGCCGGCAAAGTGCGAATTTGACAATTTTTTTTTTCCACATTTGGATATTTTCTTCCCTTTTTTTTGTTCCTCCGGGGCTCAAAATTGCTTTCAAATTATTTTGTCAGCTGCGGAAACGTGGTGGCGATGGGTCTCCAGTTCGAATTCCACTTCGTTTCCGGTCCGCAGTCGTCACTTGCGTGCAATTTGCGGCCAAGGCGACTGGAAATTGAACACAGATTATTATTGCTTATTTCTGCATGCGTTGCAGGTTCGCCGTTCGCCGGATTACTGTAATAAAAGTCGAGCGAGGGAAATCATACGGTTACGGCGAGGACTACGGCCGGAGTCTCCGTCCGGGCGGAACCTGCTCTAATGAAAGCCCGTGCTCATGGGTAAACCAAATCAAAACCGAGCAAGTGTTAGGTATGCCACGGCGGCAGCCTGAACTATTAAAAGGGTAAGCCCTTTATTACCCTGTAAAGTATCGAAGGATATGAAACATCAAGCTCCATAACAATTAATATAGAAATATTGCCCCAAATGTTTAAAATTGGTTAAGCACAGCTTATAAATATTTAATACCACTTTGCTGGACAATTTATTATTCATTTTGTAATTACAAGTAGATCAAATATCCTTTATTTCCCGCACAATAACGAGGTATTCGAACGGCAACGCTTAGAGCGCAACTGAAACCACAGCCGCAAATTGAAAGACAATAAATGTGCGCAGTCATATGGAAAATTGTGATATTCACACAATTTAATTAACATGAATAAATATTGTTACAGGCGGGCGGTTGGTCGGGACCTGTGCAACAACAATGCCAAATGGCAGTAGGCAATCGCTGGAACCAGCTAACGAGCGGACAGCATGGCGTATGAGTAACGGCGGCCGTTTGATTGTCTGCATGCAAAAGAAACAACTAACTGTGGGCAAATAAATCGCAAGACAGGACAAACTCCGGGGAAATGCGGCCAAAACAAAAGGCTCGACAGACGGAAAACATCATAAATCCCCCAAAATCTCACTGTGTTATTGTTCGAAAGCCGAGCTCATCAGCGGTTGGCAGTTGGCTGTTGGCAGTTGGCAGTTGGCTGTTTGGGCCAGAATGTCGCACGCCTGCACACATTGTCAGCCACTTGAATTGCCAACCCAAATGGTGGCTAATCAGAGCATTTTCCAGGAGTTTAGCCCCAAATGCTGCGACGCACTTTGAGGGCTCTTCATTAGCCAGTTTGCAGTGAGATTGGGCACACACAGAAAAATTGTGTTCTCTAAGCAGGATTTTACTCA